GATTCTCCACAGCCATGTGAGGGCAGAGCGAGAGGCGAGAGGAAGCTGGAAAGAGAGACAAGAGGGGAGAGAGAATAAAGGAGAGACAGAGAAGAAGGCCATAGAAACTGGGCGACACAGGACAGGCTGTGCTCCCACTGCCAGCGGGGAGACAGGTGCACTTCCTACTGCACTGCGACAACTACCCTGGGATTAGAGAAACACTCTTCCCCAACTTTACACTGCTAATCCCAGAATTCCCACATCTGCCAGAATGTGCAGAATAGGTCCCAATCCTACTGGGAGAGGGGGGGAGAAAACTCAGTTGAACTGGCCGCCCAGTGTGTGATCTCCTGTCGCAGGAACTGTGAGCCTGTCTTTCAATGATTGTGAAATTGAGTCTGTATCTATAATGTCAAATGTCTGTAGATTGTATATTAATGGTATTTGTTTTGCTTTGGCAACACTGATTTTAGTCATTGGTGAGAGAGGAGAGGAGAGACTCATTCAGCCCAGCAGCTGCAACACAGCCCTGGAGACCCCATTCCTCCACAGACGCCCCCAGAGTCTCTCGCAGACGCATCGGAGAGCCGGGGTGAGTGCGGCTGCGAAGTCCCGAGTTTCCGGTGGGCGGTGCAATGAGGACGGGGAAGCTCAGGGTTCGAGAGGCCCGGCCCTGCCGCTCTACCTCTCTCGTTTCCAGAGGCGAATGCCCCGCGGAAGGAGCCGCCCACTCCGGCCTCGCCGTCGGGCAGGTCCTCCAGCACCAGGTCTCCGACGGGGATGGGCTGCCGGTACACCTGGAACTGCAGCACGTCGCTGTGGGAGACGGGCCGGGTCACCACCAGCACCAGCTCGAACAGGAAGACGTGGAGCTTCTGTGGGACAGACAGGCGTCACGACACACCCCACTCTCAGCCCCCCACCCACTGCAGGGGCCAGAGGCTGAGGAGGAGGAAGGAGGAGAGGAGGAGAGGAGGAGAGGCACACTGGGACGAGACGAGAGCCTCAGCCCTGCGTGTCATAGGGAGCTACAGCAGTGACAATAAAGACCATGGGAGGCAAAAACAAAGCCCACCAGCTCAGGAAGAGCTCGGGCAGAAGCCGAGTTCGCTGAGGACAGCGGCCCCAGCAGCGCGTGTGGGAGCCCTCCCCCAAGCTCGTGTGGTGGTTTTTCCTGTTGGATGTTCTCTGTGTTTCTAGGAGCAGCCTCTCACACCTCTGCATTAACCCAGAGTGGTCCTTCTGAGCCTGTCCTCTACTGAAGCCCAGAAACCCACTTCACCAGGTTCTAAGGTGGCCAGTGTGTTAAGTGTCAGGTTTTGAGAAGCCTGGTGTGTGACAGGTTCTGACAGACCCAGCGGGTCAGGTTCTGACCTGGCCCTTGTTGCTCTTGAGGTCCCCGTGGCAGTAGAGGTAGCGGGACAGCTGGATCTCGGGAACGCGCTGTGTGTCCTCCAGGTAGTAGAGGCCCCGGCGGTAGAACTGACATTCGGCCTCTCCAGTCTTACTGTTCACCTGAGACACCACACGCTGGATGAGCTCCATCTGAGACAGGAGATAGCGGAGAGAGGAGACAGAAGAGACAGAGGACAGAGGAGAGAGGGGAGAGGGGAGAGGAGACAGCAGACAGAGAGGGGGGCGAGGGGAGACGAGAGGAGAGACAGAGTGGAACGTAGGGAGAGGAGAGACAAAGGGGAGAGGAGAGGAGACAGCAGACAGAGAGGGGAGCGAGGGGAGATAGAGGAGAGAGGAGAGAGAAGAGATGGGAGAGAAGACAGCAGACAGAGAAGGGAGCATAGGGAGAGGAGTGAGGGAAGAGAGCAAATGGAGAGAGAATAATTTTGATGTTAATCGGATTTGTTTTGCAACACTGATTTTAGTCATTGGTCAAGCCAATAGAGCACCTTGAACTGAACTGAACAGAGAGAGAAGAATGGAGAGAGGAGAGGAGAGACTCATTCAGCCCGGCAGCTAAAACACCCCATTCCTCCACAGGCACCCCCTACAGAGCCACAAGAGAAACCGGCTTCAGCTGCTTGCTCTGATCACACACAGGGACAGGATGTGCCACAAACAGAATGAAATCACAAATAATCTCAGACCAAACGAGATATGGAATAGAATGTCAGAATACAAAACCTTCATCCTCACACCAGTTAAAAGGAAGATGCAGCAGATAAACCTCCTTGTGCTTTTGAAAGGTCTTGCTGCACTGCCGCTCTGCACCTGAGCCCCTGAAACAGTGAGGTCGCCCAGGCCTCTGCAGCACCCACAACCATGTCAGTGCATCACGGGGGCTCCGGACTCTGAGTTTGTGTGTGCAGGTGTACGTGTGTGCGTGTACATGTGCGTGCGCGTGCTCACGAGTGCATGTGTGTGTCCGTGTGCGTGCATATGTGCATGTGTATGTATGGATGTGCGCGCGCACGCGTGTGCGTGTGTGTGCGCGTGTGTCTGCATGCGTGTGTGTACACGTCTTCGCGCGTGTGTGTGTTTGCATGTGTGTGTGCCTCAGCAGGACTCACGGCCTCCTGCAGGTGCTGGTGGTCCGGGTGGTCGGGGGCCGTGCTCTTGAGGATCTCCCGCAGCAGCAGGGGGTACTTGACCAGCCGGCTGCGGGGCAGGTCCAGGAAGTTCCAGAGGTCCAGCCGGCGGCTGAAGGAGGACTCCTGACACAGGCGCAGGAACTCGTCCACCTTCCTGTCCTGCTTCTTGTGGTCCAGCAGGGCCTTGGCCGCCACCTGGTTGCAGCAGTAGGTGATGTAGGCCTCGAGGCAGGGGAACTGCGGCGAGAGGGGCGGCCCAGTCAGACACAAGTACTGTGAACACATGCAGGTTCAGTCTGTGTGTGTGCTGTTCTGTGTCTGTGTGTGTTGTTCTGTGTCTGTGCGTGTGTGTTGTTCTGTGTGTGTGTGTTGTTCTGTGTGTGTGTGTGCGATTCTGTGTCTGTGTGCTCTTCTGTGTCTGTGTGTGTGCTGTTCTGTGTCTGCGTGTGTGTGTGTGTGTGTGTGTGGTGCAGAAAGGAAATAGTCTCCCTTTTATCTGCTCACCCAGTTCATCAGAGTGGGTCCCACTTCCGCAACACAATTCTTTGTCCCTCGCAGGTTCTCTAACTGGTTCAGCAGATCTGCAGGTGAAGTGGTGAGAAGACCCCATTACTGGTGCCAGCAAACACAGCCCTTCAGCGGGGTCGTGTATCTGGGCTAGACCACGTTTCAGCTTTCAGTTGTTAAGATACACAGGTGAAACAAATTCTGATGCTTCAGAGGTAGTCACCAGCGAGCACAAGCTGTTTGTGAAACTATAGGCCCTCCGGGGCTGAGGCACAGCACCCCTGCAGCTGAACAGCTCCATACCTTCGTGCAGAGGGATGAGGGAGTCCAGCGTCCCGAAGATCTGTCCCAGCTCGCTCTCGGTCATGATGTCCAGCTTGAGCATGGGCTCATAGTACGCCTGTGGGGAGCAGAAGAGCTGTGAGACGGGGGGGCTGGAACTTTCTGCAGGAATAAGATGGAAGCATGTCCATCTGCTGTAGAGAAGTCATTGCACTCTCGCACTGCAGCAGTACTTGTATTTGACACATAGAGTGGTGGGACTGTGGAACAGCCTAACCAGCCATGTTGTTAAAGCCGATACCCTGGCTTCTGATACCCTGAGATCTTTGAACCGATTATCTACTAACAATTGGGTCGATTGGGCTAGCTGGGCCGAATGGCTGCTCTCTTCTGTAACCTTTCTCATGTTCTTATTCTTTATGAAGAGACTTAATAAGTACAGCATGGAGCTGCATTCAAAACAACCCAGAGCTGACGTATATGGCTAATCGGTTACAGGTGACATGCAGGAGTGGTTTGGTGTAATGTTCTGTGCCTGTGGTGTAATGTAGAAGGAAACTCTGAAGAGCCCAGCTGTAATGGCCCCTTGTAGACCTCAAACTGCAACGCGGTTCATTCCTAATTCATGCTGTGTCAACCACTGGCAGGGAATTAGGTGATAAAAAAAATCAAACATCTAAGACCACCATATTTCCAATACCAAAAGCACCTAGCCTTTGAACCTAACAAATTTAATAAACATGTTGGCAACAGTGTTTAACAGCGGGCAGACACATACTCTTCCTTCTCACACACCAGCTCACCTGATGTCCTTTACATTAGGAGCCAGGAAGCTCAATTCAGCTGGGAATTCTTTCCTGAAATGACTCTTAATGGCCCTTTTGGCAACCACTCAGATAGTGGCTCCTTTATTGCTTAATCCCGTGAGTTTCCCTGTTGTGGAAGAGCTCGGCAATCCTGGTGGTTCGGGAGTGAATGAGGTCTTCCAGTGGAACAGCACAGCTGGGGATGCTGTAGAGCGTCTATTGACTAGCAGACTATTATAATTGTTTCTCGCACAGCCTTGGAGTTATAGCTAGTTAATACACTCCAGAGTATAAACACTGAGAATCATACTATCAACCTGCAGTCTAAGGTACTGCCAGAGCAGTGTCAACTGTAAAGATCTTTCAATATTAAGAATGATGTAGAAACCCAAAACTGCAGTGCAATGTTTTCTTCCACAGTAATAGTCCATAACTGGCCAATGGCTGATGTCCAGATTCTCACTTGCCCTGCAGGTCAGCCTCTCTGGCCATGCTGGCCGGTCACTGTGTTACACTAACTGACCAGTAGCTCAGGAGCCCCTCAGCGACACAGACTGGTGGCAGACAGCAGGCAGAGCCTTGTGATGTGACAGGTGGAGGTGAAAGTTTGCAGCAGATTCACAAACCTTCTTTGCCAAATTGAGGTCTTCAATGAGCTGCTTCTCTCCTTGTGTCAGTTCAAATATTACCTGCAAAACATCGAAAAGCGTGGACATTTCTTTGTCTGAGAAAGTGTCTGGAAGAGAGGACTGTTCATCACTTTCTTAGTAAAACTTCCCCAGTGATTTCACTCGCTTGGTCTCTTTAAATGACTGCTAATTCTGAAACCACAGGAAGGACAACCAAGCTGTAAACAGAGAACTGCGATCAGTCAGGAGAAAACTGCTAATCAGGAGAGCTCAGGCTTGACTCGGCAGCACTGCAGGGTGACAGGGTACTGCAGACAGGCTGCTGTTGCTCGTCACAGGGTGGTCTGGAGTCTACTGCTTGGTGTCTCAGTGGGGGCTGCACACTGGTGATGACGCAGGGAAGTCTGCTTTAACTTTAAAGCGCTGTGAATGGAGTGTCTGAAAATCATGGAAAAATTAAGAATCACTTTTACTCTGCTGTCTCTCCTCTTGTACCCCAGTGCAATTAAATCACCTGGTGGTACTGTGCCTGTTCTCCTTCCTGTATCTGAGCCGGCCTGGGATTCACATGCATCACTTGTCTGCCTGCTCTCCTGCTCTCCTTCCTGTCCCTGCTCCGGCCTGGGATTCACACGGATCACCTGTCTGTTCTGTCAGCCCGCTCTCCTGTGCCAGGGTTGTGAACTTAGGCGCCGAGCAGGCGGAGCGAGGCCGAGCGAGGAAGAGACGCACCTCCTGCCGTTTGATCTCCTTGGCGGGGAGCTCCTCGGAGATGCTCTCCACTGTCTCGCTCCACAGCTGGCTGTTGCGGCGCCTGGGCAGCGAGGCGGCCTTCTGCCGGTGGCGCAGGGGGGCGGGGGGCAGCGGTCGGGCCTCCGTCTTGAAGCTGATCGACCGCTGGGGCAGAGAGGACAGACACAGTAACGGCTCTGATAGGAACAGAGTCCAGCCGAGTCGACAACAGGCCTCCGCAGAGGCAGCACCGGCGGAGAAGAGGCAGAGGTGTCGTAGTGCTCAGGGCTGGCGGCTCCCCGGCACCCGATGGACCTCTCTGGACAGCAGCCGTGCCCAGGGACAGGAGAGTGCCCGCTCATAAAATCCCAAGCCATAAGTCTGACGTCTACTACATGTCAGGTTATTGACACAATAACTGGAACTGTCAGAGGAGCACCTGTTTGGAAATAAAGTCCTGGATGATAGCCAGCATGGGTTTCGAAATGATAGGACTTGCTAAAAGAAATAACTGGATAAGATCCCAAATACCGAGCGACTTAAAACGGGCTGGATTGTCCAAACAGCCTCCTCTCGTCTGTAACGGCTCCTGCGACTCAGCAGAGAGATCCCCTGCTGCTCCAGGAGTCGTACTCACCTGGATGGACTGGCCGATGCGTTTGAGCGAGGTGGACTTGACTGGACCCATGAAGCTGGCCAGACCAGCCCCCTTGGACACAGGTTTGACCCTCTTGTTACTGGGCTCCTGGAAGACCAACAGAGAGCAAGAGGCAGGGATCAGACAGTTCTCTCACTGCAGGAAGGGGTATCTTCCCCTCAGCTGTCTGCCTTTCATGGGATCTTTAGCTCATATGATCTGAATATTTTTCTCCTTTGAATGAACTGTCTCTTGTAGACACATTCAACTGCTTCCACACAATATCGTGAATCAAAAGTTAATTTGTGTGCACATTACAAGTTGTACTAAAAGATTTCTAAGCTGCTCTAGGGAGCTGTCTCCCAGGGGGGGACAGACAGATACTCACCTCCCCGTCTTTGACTGGCCCAGCGTTAGCAGCAACATCGTCCACATCCTGGGAAAGAAGAGTCAGAACGTCAGTCTGTCACCTTGACTCCCTGTAAGCTGGAGCTGCTGGTCTGGGCTCTTCCCAAAGTAAACACCGGACTCCAGACTGGGAGAGACTGACGTCAGCTCCAGAGTTGCTTAAAACAGTTTAAATCATAGAACGTTACTTTGGTTTCATAATTACAGCCACTTTCTCTTCTTTTTGAAGAATGCATTGACTTGTATTGTATCTGTTTCTTTCCCTGGGGAGAGCTGAGGAGCACGCACAGGCCAGCCGTGCAGACAGCAGAGCTCAGTGTCCTAACCCGCTCACAGCCAGGAGGAGACGCAGCTCTCCTGCACGGTCTGAGCCGGGAACTCAACCTGCTGAGACTCTCAGGAGCCCCTGGCTGGGCTGGAGGCAGTGGAAGTCACAGTGCTCGCTGCTGAGGGCCAAGTGTTCATTTCTAATTAGACCAGACGAAACGATTTGAACCCCTTGCTCCTCCTGTCATTGACAGCCAGGGTCGGTGAAGAGCTGCCCCCCTGGTGTGTTGATGGGTGAGGTGGAGACTGTGTGGAGGCTAGGCAGTGCTTTGCTTTAGAGGACAGAACAGTCCATTTAAAACAAAGCAAAAAGTACCGCAGGAGAAGGCAGTCAGCCAGCCAGAGGCACTGAAGTCCAAGACTTCGCCTGTGGCTCCTGGAGGCACTAAATTCCTTCTACAGGCAGCACATCCGGTCAGCTCAGCACTTGAACACCAAATCACAGACAGCTTCTGGCTGACCAAGAGGGCCAGACTGACCAGCTCCGTTTATGAACTCTTTTCTTCACTTATTTAAGCCTCTTGGTTCGAGAGACTTGAGCAACATGGCAGCTGTGCTCACTTTCACTGCTCACTGATCCGTATTACCATGCAGGTTGCTGGACTGCACAAGATAAAACAAAGAAACTTTCCTTATCACCTTGTGTGATTTCCACTCTGTTCATAACACTGTGCATTCTTCTACATTTGTGTTCATTTTAAGTACTTCAGGGCTGGGAGATGAGCCTGTGAATTCTGCTCAGAGTCAGAAAGAGTCAGAGCTGTCATAACTGTAGCTGAATTTCACATCCTGCTGTGCACAGAGCTCAGCCTTTTGCATACGACAGTGTGTTTGTGTGTAGGGAGGGGGCAGGGCGAAAAACTGAACTTAAAAGGGGTTTTGCAACACAGTATAAAGCCAGTCCTGCCTGTTTAGAGTACGGAGTCGTGTCAGGGCTGTGTGTCTCGGAGCCGGGGGTCAGTGAGGGAC